TGTATTCAAAACTTTCACAATCTATACATCAATGTTTTGACCCTCCAGGGTCTTTATCAAGATAATGACAGTGCAATACAGTGTAAATATATAGCAACTCTTAAGTGAAAAACTTACCCCATCTGTGTGAATTAATTCCCAATCCCGGTGAAGTGTTAGCTGACCGTGCACATGCGTGGTGGAGTGACCCCGGGACCTAATGTGAGTGATGAGGTACTCAGTAATGTGAACGTGCACGATGACGTAAGTTACAACGGGTATCTATGGCAACCATGTAGCGATACCCAGGTAGGGAGTGACATGCGTGCGCTAAAATCCACACGGAGAAGATAATCTGGAGGTTATATATAAAACCTGCAACCGGACCAAAAATACAAGACAGTATGAGAAGCGAAGTGTAGATAAGTGTAATAAATATAGAATCATAAGTGTGGGGATAAAGAGAGAGAGTGAGTGTGTATGTAGTGTATAGAATAGAATGGGAGAAAAGAACAGACAGAAGAAAGGCAATAAAGAAATAAAATATAAAGATATGAATGTTAAAAGAGTATGTGTACATTTAAGAATTGAAAACTAAAAATATGTGTGTGACAAATATAACCCGTTATGAGTGTAAAACACAAAAAAACACAAAAAAAGTGAATGGGATAAAATATCAAAAACATTTATTAAACCTAGTGCAGAGAAAACATCTCTCAATATCCCCCACACACCATAATTAATTAATATGCATAAGAACCCTATAAACACATATATCCATTATCAAACAACTTGTCTTAGGACAATAACACACCCATATTAGTAAAAGAAAGCAAAGTGTTAAAACAGTAAACCTAATAATACTGACAAAAGTCATAGTAACCCTAGGGGTTAACCATATATTAATATCTATAATCAACTGATAAACAAATAAACTTAGATCCATAAAGACTTGTTAAAAATGTTATTGAACATCCAAAAACGGTCTGAATGATACATTCTCATTCAGACCCTTTGGATTTACAGTATCTAATTGCTTAATCCAAAAGGCTCCTTTTGTAACAAGAGCTTGGAAATTTAAAAAAACATACAATCAACCATGGTGAATTCTGTTTTGAGGTATGTAGAGATGGATCTCTTAAAGGATTTTAGGCTTAGGGAAGATTTGAAAGTGTGTGGGAGGTCGTTCCTTAATTGTGGTGCTCTGTAGGAAAAAGGAGGAACCAGCCTTTCTTTTTGTATTGAGGAAGACTAAATAAAGTGCTGCTGCTGGATCGGAGGTTATAGGAGGTGGGAACAGCCGGGGAGAGCATTCTACTCAGGTAGGGTGGGAGTTTCTCAGAAAAGCTCTTAAACACAAGGCTGGAAAGATGAAGGGTGCGTCTGGATTCCAACGATAGCCAGTTTAGTTCTTTTAGCATGTCACAATGGTGGGTCCTGTAATTACATTGTAACACAAATCGGCAGAACGAGTTATACAATGTATTGAGTTTATTTAGGTGAGTTTGCGGTGCAGGTTCATATACTACATCCCCATAAGCATGATTGGCATTAGCATTTGCTGTACAATCTTTTAGATTTAAGTCACATAAAAAAAAGGCCACACGGGCATGAAATTAAATATACAATATGATCCGTGAAACATGAAATGTAATGCAATGTGCAATGGCATATCTCTTGCCAGAATGTGGATGCACAAACGAGGAGTCTGTCAACATATGTCCACAATTCAATATATATTTATTTGCATTTAAAACAAACCTGCAGTTGGTTTCCATATGTTCAAAATAATTTGAATTGAACAGTTTCTTCAACTACAGGCTTTCTTGTTGCTGTGTTTTTGGGTGTCATAAGGACTGTGTATTTCACAGGAATGCTTTAGATCCCACTTTAAATGTATTTTGAAATTATTCTGCGATTGCTGTTTTGTCTCTGAGTGCATACATATTGCTAGTTTAAACAGCATGATATTACAAAAAGATTCTCTTAAGGGAAGAGACATGATCATTTGTATCAGGGAAATTACAAAACACCTGCCTCAAATAAAGTCACGACCAACACAGTTAACATGACTAGGAAGCCCATATGGAAAGCCAGATGGCATATAAAAGAAGGCCAAGAATATATGCAGGATGGACATCAAACAGACTGATGCTAGGAGCTAGATATCAGATACATAGAACGTCTTATAGAGGAAACTGTTAAAAATAGGTCAAAGAGTGTTGCATAAAAAAAAAAACAGAACATATCTGTAGAGTGGCCGAACAACTATTTTTATAATATGAATTATTTGATTTAAGTAGGACCAACCTATTCTGCAGCTCTCTGCAATAGGGAAGTGATACATCCAGGTGACGGTTACAAAATATATACCTGTAAGTGAAGTAACAAGAGGCGATGATGTCCTTGTTGATATTCTAAAGGGAATAGGATATATTGATACATGAAGTGACAGTGAAATATATCCAGTAGAGATGATATATAGCAGATGTGATGAACATACTGTATTTATAGTTAGGTCCGGAAATATTTGGACACTGACACAATTTTCATAATTCTGGCTCTGTATGCCACCACAATGAATTTGAAATGAAACAGCCGAGATGCAATTGAAATACAGACTTTTAGCTTTAATTCAGGGGGTTGAACAAAAATATTGTATGAAACGTAGGAATTTCAATAATTTTAATACGGAGTCCCCTTATTTCAGGGCCTTAAATGTAATTGAACAGATTACACAATCATAAATAAAATGTTAATTTTTAATACTTTGTTGGTAATCCTTTGCCGGCAATGACTGCTTGAAGTCTGAAATACATGAACATCACAAAACGCTAGGTGTCCTCCTTTGTGATGCTTTGTCAGGCCTTTACTGCAACTGTCTTCAGTTGTTTGTACGTGGGTCTTTCTGCCTTAAGTTTTGTCTTCAGCAAGTGTAATGCATGCTCGAACACTTTGCCTTAAAAAACTCCTGGTTTGCTTTCACAGTGTGTTTAGTCATTGTCCTTCTGTAAAGCGATGCACAGTCAAATTAATTTCACTGAATTTGGCTGAATCTGAGCAGACAATATATTCCTATACACTTCAGAATTAATTTGGCTGCTTCTGTCTTCTGTCACATTATTAATAAACACTAGTGACCCAGTGCCATTGGGAGCCATGCATGCCCATGCCATCACACTGCCTCCATCTATGTTTTACAGATTAAGTGGTATGCTTTGGATTATGAGTGGTTCCAAGCCTTCTCCATACTTTTTTCTTCCCATCATTCTGGTACATGTTGGTCTTAGTTTCATCTGTCCAAAGAAATCTGTTTGAGAACTGAGCTGGCCTTTTTAGATGTTTTTTTGGCAAAGTCTTATCTGGCCTTTCTATTCTTGAGGCTTATGAATGGTTTGCACCTTGTGGTGAACCCTTTGTATTTGCTCTCCTGAAGTCTTCTCTTTATGGTAGACTTGTATAATGATATGCCTAGTTCCTGGAGAGAGTGCTTCACTTGGCTTGATGTTAAGGGGCTTTTCTTTACCATGGAAAGATCCTATGATCATCCACCGCTGTTGTTTTCTGTGGAGGCCTTTTTGTGTTGCAGAGCTAACCAGTGAGTTTTTTACTCAGAATGTACAAAACTGTTCATTTGGTCACTCCTAATGTTCCTGCCATCTATCTGATTTTTTTATTTTTATTTTTTGCAGGCTAACGATGGCCTGTTTTACTTGCATTGAGAGCTCCTTTGAACCGCATGTTGTGGGTTCACGGCAACAGCTTCCAAATGTGAATGCCACATATGGAATCAATTCCAAACCTGCTTACTTGATAAAACATAAATTAATAGGCCGCACCTGTCCATTTGAGTCATTTACCCAATTACGTTTGGTCCTTAAAAAAGAGGGGTCTGCATATTAAAGAACTGTAATTTCTAAACCATTCTTCCATTTTGAATGTGAATAGTCTCCAATTAAAGGATCACTATAGGGTCAGGAACACAAACATGTATTCCTGACCCTATAGTGTTAAAACCACCATCTAGGCCCCCAAGGTGCCTCATGCTGTATCAGATATTTGTGGTTGAGGACAGAGGACAGAGCATTGTAAGAACAGATAGATGGCTTTTTAGATGAGCACAAATGTGTTAAACTTATTACAGAAGATATACAGTATATTTCAAATTCATAAACATTTTAGATGTTTATAGAAATAAAGTAAAGCCACGTTACTTATTTTAAGAAATAATAGTGGTTTATCTTTAAAAATAATCTTTCACTTTTTAAAGAAAGCAACCAATGAAATTGGTGTTATTGTTACAGTTTCTAGAAACCTTCTCCCCAATTAATTTCAAACCCGCAACTGTTTATACCAAGGACCTACAGTCTGATCCCTATGCTGTAGCTCAGATAATAAGGAAATCAGCTTCCTCATTATACGTCCAGCTTTGGTCAGCAATGATGGGCTGGGAGCACTGAGCTAACCCACCCCAGAACTCTTAGCTTATTATTGTCATCATTGGGTATATAGAATATTAACACCATATCCATTACGATTTATTTACCATTTATTTTTCTGAAACAAGCTCATTTAAGAAAGAAAAAAAAATTATGTTGGATTACTATACCAGTTAATTGAGTTTTGTATTTTTTTTGTCTTTGTTTTGGAACCAAGAAAACTTGAGATAAATATTACATAGATGGGTATGCTTTATAAGTGCATGCTATTTGCCATCATGCAGCTGTGCCCTGCTTTTGCCAAGAGTGTCACAGGCTGCTGCTAGTTTCAGGCTGAATGGGATAATAACCCTAAAATCCCTTCTTAAGTACTTAAATCTTCTTTGTCAGCAGGACTTAAAACAGTCAATGACACATACAGCTGAGGATATGATTGTTATGTGCAGAGTCTGGGAAATTCAGTAAGGCAGATCAAGAGACACAGACCCAACATGATTTGATCAGATGGCTGCTGGTCCAATATTACCTGCATAACTGAACCTACCTATTAGGTTAGCATGCATAGTACAGATGTGTTAGGATATGTTGCAATTTAGACCAAGAGCCAAGCCTTCGCCATTGTCCTTTTACAGGGACATACCAGGAGGGAACTATGGGCTTAGCAATAACAGATCTTTTAATTCGAGAGATTCGAATTTCCAGTGGAAGACGGAAGCTAGTTTTATATACTACATTGAAGATGAAGATGATGATGTAGAGGAGCAAAAATGGTCAGAAAGAGAAGAGCAAAGGTTGGATTTATGGAAGAGTCAATGTCTTGCAGCACAACTAGACCGTAGTAACTATGAAGATTATGCAGAAAGCCCCCCTTTTTTACCCTCTTTTTTCGTAAATAAGAAGAAAGATTTGCTGAGCATCAATGTGGGTGGAACAAGCTATCAAATCTCCTACATGGTGGCAGCCAGTTATCCCAAAACTCGGATAGGTCGCTTGGCTACATATACAGATCGTCAGCGAAAGCTAGATCTCTGCGATGACTACAATCCAAGAGAAGATGTCTATTTCTTTGACCGTGACCCCGCTGTATTTCACCACATTTATAACTTCTATCGTACTGGAGTTTTATGGATAAGGGATGAGCTGTGTCCCAGAAGTTTCCTGGAGGAGATCAACTACTGGGGAATAAGAATTAAACACACTCCCCGCTGTTGTCGAATTTTATTTGAAGAGAGACAGGATGAGTTAAACGAGCAACTGAAGGTGCAGAGAGAGCTCAGAGCTGAGATGGAGACAGAGGAAAATGAGGAGTTCTTCAGAGGAATGCTGTGTGGGAATCTAAGGCGTCGAATATGGAATCTGATGGAGAAACCATTTTCATCAATCACAGCCAAGGCAATGGCAGTAGCATCCAGTTTCTTTGTCCTTATATCCGTTGTGGCCATGACTCTTAACACCGTTGAAGACATGCAGTATAAGAATGCTTCTGGTCACCCCACTGGAAGGCCCTATCTGGAACATGTAGAGACCCTATGTATTGCCTTTTTTACTCTGGAGTATATACTAAGACTCATCTCCACTCCCGACCCACAACGCTTTGTGCGCAGCGCCCTTAATGCTGTGGACCTGATTGCCATTTTACCGCTCTATTTACAGCTGCTTCTTGAGAAGTTTACTGATGAAGACCAAAATGGAAAACGTTCTAGTCATGAACAAGAGATTGAAGCAGTGGGTAGGGTTGGAAAACTAGGACAAGTGCTAAGAATTATGAGGCTCATGCGTATTTTCCGGATCCTAAAATTAGCACGTCATTCTACTGGGCTTCGAGCATTTGGCTTCACTCTTCGCCAGTGTTATCAGCAGGTGGGATGTCTGCTCCTTTTTATTGCCATGGGAATTTTCTCTTTTTCGGCAATGGTGTATACAGTGGAGCATGATGTCTCTGGCACCAACTTTACCAGCATCCCTCATGCATGGTGGTGGGCAGCAGTAAGTGTCAAGATTTTAGTGAAACAAATAACAGAGAATAAACACTCCAAGTGTGTGGCTGGGTACAAACTCATGAGCTTACCTAACACCTCCAAAACAGCAAAATTCAGTAATAAGAGTTGCAACACAAAAAAAACAAACCCACTCTGGTGGAATATACTTTCTTTCAAGTATCATTTGGTGCCGCGAACTCTTATGATATTTTGCTGTATCTTTAGGTAATAGTTGCACAAAAATATCTGTAGTATTAGACTGACAATTGCGCAGTAATACCCTTTAATTTTGTTTTTATTTTGTTTAGCACTTCCTAATTCAGTTTTGTCTTTAAATGGGCGTTTAAATAAAATATAAATTGAGCTTATATTAGCACAAATTTACTTTTAACATATCTGACTCAGATTTTAATTTATCCATCTTTTCCGTGAAAAGTGCAAAGCCTTGCATAAATGCATTTCCATTTCATTTTGAAGCCTATGTTCTCTTCTGTCTTACAATGAAGGTGGGTGGAGGCATATGCTTTTAACCCACCTTCAATTGTGTTCTATACAATAAACTTTACCTCCTGCAGCCTTCATAGACACTTGTTGGTATGCATTGTCTTTGAGATTTAATATAATCAGATTATACATAATGAGTTTGTATGTTTATAGTGGTTATTATGAAGAACAAGTATGTGGCAAAGTTTTCAAATTAGAGCAATCACCATGGAAACCCACTGAATGTTTTGCTTGTTGCTCCATATTTAGCATATTACCCCAGAATTGCTCTGAGTTGTTACAACATTTAAAAGTGTTAGACTGTTCCAGGTGGTCAATATTTGTTTGAATTCTGTTGTTGTCTAATCTATATCTTCTAATCTTCTAAACAAAAAGCCACAGTGCCTCACATAATGGACCTCAATTGACTCTTATAGTACTATTGGAACTATAGCAACAGTAACCATGTACCTCTCAATAACTGCATAACTCCATGTTACAACTGGAGTTATGCAAAGATTGCTAAATACCTTAAGATAATAGATTACTGAATACAAAGTGCCCTACTTTCGGCCATTCTTAATGGAAAAAAATCCCTTTCTCTCTTTTCTTGGGGCATAGTATGTTCACTTTAATAAGTGGAATTGTACATTGATAAGAAAAAAAACATGATTAAACATTTGCATTTATGTTAATGTGCATATTTAACCTCAATTGACCCTGTTCTGAATGACATAAGTAGCTCTCAATAATAAGTAAGTTATTAAAAATTCCTAAATAGTCTAAAACAACTATAATGTATATTATAGGCTTTTTTTAAAAAAAGATTAATCTAAATCTAAAAGATTAGAGTGATTAGAGAAAGACTGATATTTTTGCAACAAAATATAAAAATACAAGTCTTTATTTTTCTGTTCAGTGCATATTAGATAGTTCTTCAAACTTTCATGCCAACTGAGCTTGTCATAAGCAAGAAACATACACATTTTAAAGGGTCGTTTTCCACATGATCATACAGGAACACACTATAGATTGCCATTGCCCATGGAGTTTCTTACCAAATACATCAATCACTCTCTCAGTACATACATATATAATTTAAGGGATGATGGATATAATATGTGTAGTTTGTGTAGTATGTGTGCTTCACTTGGTCAATGGCAATTAAAAGGCTCAGGAATGATAGCTGGTAAGGGTCAATGGTTACAATCCCATATGCCAAAAAGCATTTAGCCAGGGTTTGCAATTTCTGCCAAGGAGCCACAGAGCATATAATTTCCTGTTGTCTAAAGTGATTTCGATACCATTAATGGGCCAATGATTTAACATCACGATATTACATCAAGGACAGGTCAAAATGACTTGAGTCCCACATAGAGAGATAATAGAAATTTATCTAATTTGAGGTTTTCACTAAAGTGAAAATTCAAAATGAATTAAAAATTTAAGGTCAAACTGGAAACATTCCCTAAGGCCGCTATATATCCAGTTGAGCTACTTTGACTTTAAATCTGAAATTCACTTTTAATTCTCCATTTAGTGAATAAACCCTATACAGGTTTCAGTACTGGTTTCCTAATGATTAAATATTGAAACCAGTCTAACTTGCATGTTTATATTCCACAGGTCTTTATTGATGTATACTTTTGAATACCAATTAATTCCATAGTGCACAGGATCTTCTGTTAAAAAAATTTCTATGTAGACCTAAAAACCTTCCTCCACTCCCAATTCGTCTATACATTTCTAGTGCTTTGCTTGTCAGGTATTCGATACCGTTTTCAAAATCAAATTATATCATTTTACCATCGCAATTGTTAAAAATATATGGTGGATTATATTCCGAGACTCATGGTGTAGTATAAAGAATAAAGTAGTGCAGTGAACTTTCCAGTTGACTTACTCACTGTTCCAAGTGATACATTTAAAAAAATTAAAATAGAGCTGTATTTTGTTTTTCTGTCTGGTGCTATCAATTTAACTACAAGAGTCAGGACATCATCAGTCATTTCTTTACGCCTAAGTCATTATACCACCTTCTGTGTCATTAACCTTTAATCATTAGCTTTTACTATTCATTGTTGCCTGGAATCCAGTTCTGAAACTTGCATTTAGCAAATGTATATTTTCACAGATATAGCTAAATTTAACATGACAAATCACTGCACTTTATCTGCAAATACTTTCTGAAACATCTCAAATAAATTTAATGCCTTTTTTCCTCTGCTGTTTCTATTACATTTAGGACAAAGATACAAGTCAAGTTTTGATTTCATACACATACAGTGAGGGAAAAAAGTATTTGATCCCCTGCTGATTTTAAATGTTTGCCCACTGACAAACAAATGATCAGTCTATAATTTTAATGGTGGGTGTATTTTAACAGTGAGAGACAGAATAACAAAAAAAAAAAAAAAATCCAGAAAAGCGCATGTAAAAAAAGTTATAAATTGATTTGCAAGTTAATAAGTGAAATAAGTATTTGACTCCTTTGACTTATTACTTGGTGGCAAAACCCTTGTTTGCAATCACAGAGGTCAGATGTTTCTTGTAGTTGGTCACCAGGATTTTGTCCCACTCCTCTTTGCAGATCCTCTCCAAGTCATTAAGGTTTCGAGGCTGACGTTTGGCAACTCGAACCTCAGCTCCCTGCACAGATTTACTATGGGATTAAGGTCTGGAGACTGGCTTTGGCCATTTCAGGACTTTAGTGTGCTTCTTCTTGAGCAACTCCTTTGTTGTGTTGGCTGCGTGTTCTGGGTCATTGTCATGCTGGAATACCCATACACGACCCATTTTTCAATGACCTGGCTGAGGCAAGGAGCTTCTCACCCAAGATTTGACGGTACATGGCCCCATCCATCGTCCCTTTGATGAGGTCCAGTTGTCCTGTCCCCTTAGCAGAAAAATACCCCCAAAACATAATGTTTCCACCTCAATGTTTGAGAGTGGGGATAGTGTTCTTCGGGTCATAGGCAGCATTCCTTCTCCTCCAAACACGGCAAGATATGTTGATGCCAAATAGCTTGATTTTGGTCTCATCTGACACTTTCACTCAGTTCTCCTCTGAATCATTCAAATATTCACTGGCAAACTTCAGACGGGCCTGTACATGTGCTTTCTTGTGCAGGGGGACCTTGCGGGTGCTGCAGGATTTCAGTCCTTCACGGCGTAGTGTGTTACCAATTGTTTTCTTGGTGACTATGGTCCCAGCTGCATTGAGATCATTAACAAGATTCTCCCGTGTAGTTCTGGGCTGATTCCTCACCATTCTCATAATCATTGAAACTCCACAAGGTGATATCTTGCATGGAGCACCAGACCGAGGGAGACTGACAGTTATTTTGCGTTTTTCTTTTAATTGTGAATAATCGCACCAACTGTCACTTGGCGATGGTCTTAAGCTCCTCTGGATCTTAAAAGGGGATCCGACACCCTTATTCTGTTGCCTTGAGCTGATGAATAATATTAGCTGGCCGGGATAATCAGGAACTTAGAACCAATGAGTAAAATAATAGTAAAATAAAATAAACAAAATATACATAAAAATAAAAAGTCCAATTGGAAATAAAATATGGCTAGTAGAAGTGATATCAAAGTGATATAAACAAATGTAAGATTTGTTTTAAAGGGATACTCTAAGCACCATAACAACTACAGCACATTATACCTGACAAATGAATGCTGTCCTGACTTAGATCTCAATTTCATACTTTTGGATAACCTTTTCAAATGGTAGTTTAACGTGTACACAGTGGTTATGGTCAATGTGTGAATCATTGTCATCAAAATAATAGTATAATTTATTCAACTCAATAGTAAAATAAAATAAACCAAATATACATAAATATAAAAAGTCCAATTGGAAATAAATTATGGCTTTCTCCAAAACGTGTTTTGTTTCCTACTACACTGTGACAGTATCTTGCTATCTACCAACTGAGGAAGCCAATAGGCGAAACACATTTTGGAGAAAACCATAATTCATTTCCAATTGGACTTTTTATCTTTATTTTGTTTATTTTATTTTACTATTGAGTTGAATAAATTATACTATTATTTTACTCATTGGTTCTAAGTTCCTGATTATGCCGGTCAGCTAATATTACTCACAGTGGCGTACACATGACCCATGGGGCCCCGGTGCGAAAATTGATCCGTGGGCCCCCCCCCCGCGCGGGCCGTGCCGCAACACATGGCGGTGGGCACCTGGTCGCAGGGGTTACAGGGCTGCGACCCCTGCGACCGCGGTATGTACGCCAGTGCATGCAGATGCACACACACCAAAGGGATTGTTTATGCACCTGCAGACCACTTCAGCTTAATGAAGTGGTCTGGGTGCCTGGTCCAGCTAGGGTTAACCCATTTTTTAATAAACATAGCAGTTTCAGAGAAACTGCTATGTTTATCAATGGGTTAAGCCTTTCCCCTATTCCCTCTAGTGGCTGTCTCATTGACAGCCACTAGAGGCGCTTGCGTGCTTCTCACTGTGATTTTCACAGTGAGAGCACGCCAGCGTCCATAGGAAAGCATTATGAATGCTTTCCTATGTGACCGGCTGAATGCGGGCGCAGCTCTTGCCGCTCGTGCGCATTCAGCCGACGGGGAGGAGAAGAGGAGGATAGGAGGAGGAGAGCTCCCCGCCCAGCGCTGGAAAAAGGTAAGTTTTAACCCCTTCCCCCTTCCAGAGCCGGGCGGAAGGTCCCTGAGGCGGGGGCCAGGGTACTATAGTGCCAGGAAAACGAAGCAGCCTTTTCCTTCTGGTGCACTATAGTGGTCCCAAAATGGACCACTAGACACCCAGACCACATCAGCTCAATGAAGTTGTCTGGGTGTCAGGTCCCTCTAGTTTTAACCCTGCAGCTGAAAACATAGCAGTTTCAGAGAAACTGCTATGTTTCACTGAGGGTTAATCCAGCCTCTAGTGGGTGTCTCACTGACAACCGCTACAGGAGCACACTGAACGTCCATAGGAAAGCATTGAGTAATGCTTTCCCATGGGCGGTTTGAATGCGTGCGCGGTCGCATTCGGAGCTGAGGGATACCCAGCGCCAAGGGAGTCCGGCGCTGGAGAAAGGTAAGTGCTGAAGACACACACACTCTCACTTACAGACGCATACACATTAGCTAACAGACACACACATTTACTGACAGAGATACAGTCAGCGACAGACATACATACACACTCACTTACAAAACATACACTCTTATTGACAAACACACACTCACTAACAGACATCAAACAGACTCACTAACACACACACTCAGTAAGACACACACAGTAACACACTAACACTCACTAGCAGACACACACACTAACACTCACACTAACACTGACACACACACTAACACTCACACACACACTAACACTCACTCTAACACTCACACACACTAACACTCACACTAACACTCACACATGATTTTTTTTTTTTTATATATATAATCCCCCCAGCCTCCTTACCTTTTGGAGTGCTGGGGAGGATTATTCCCTGGGGTCCAGTGGGGCTCCTGGGCGGGTGGCCGGTCGGGCAGGCAGGCAGGCGGGCGCGCGAGGGAGCACTCAGTGCTTTCTCTTCAGCTCCCTCGCGTGCCGCGTAGGGATGCCGGCGCCGGAAGATGACGTCATCTTCCGGCTCCGGTATCATTGCGGTGCGCGAGGGAGCTGAAGAGGAAGCACTGAGTGCTCCCTCGCGCGCCCGCCTGCCTGCCTGCCCGACCGGCCACCGGCCCGGTGTCAGCAGGGCCAGCCTCGGGGGGGCCCTGGGGTGGTCGGCTCCTGGGCCCCCAAGGGGAAGAGGCTGGCCCAGGGCGTACATACCGGGTCGCAGGGGCGGCCGGGCCCCCTGGTGGGCCGGGCCCGGTCGCAGTCGCGACCCTGGTATGTACGCCAGTGATTACTCATCAGCTCCAAGAAACAGAATAAGGGTGTCGGATCCCCTTTTAAGATCCTGAGTTTTATCTTAATGGGTTTGTCCAGGCAGTCAGAAAAATATTGGCAAAATCCAGACGGACTGATAATACCATGCTCTTGCATCTGGAATGGACATGTATTTTGTGTTTAATTCCCCTTACAAAGAAGCATATCCCTGGTCTCATTAAGTTACTGACATTTAAAAAAACAAACAGGTAAAACGCAAAAATTAGATGTTGAAAACAGAATGTTCTCACATTACGCTGCAGCCGATTAACTACATTTTGATTTATTTTTAGGTCAGCATCTCCACCGTGGGTTATGGAGACACATACCCAGAAACCCATCTTGGACGACTCTTTGCCTTTCTCTGTATTGCTTTTGGAATCATTCTAAATGGGATGCCAATCTCCATCCTTTATAACAAGTTCTCAGATTATTACAGCAAACTGAAATCTTATGAATACACAACAATTCGAAAAAAAAGAGGAAACGTTAATTTTACTGGCAGAGCCATGCAGAAGATTTCAGAGTGTTACGGTGGAGTATCAACACAGGAACTTCCTGGGCACAGACATTAACGACAGTCTCCAGTAAATTTGGGAGGGACTAGGGTAAAATGAATACCCGAGTAATATTCAATAAGTAATTGTACTGGAGTAACAAGAGCATTAATAAACATGCCATTCAAAATGATCTACAGCTAATAAAGCCTATTCAATAATGAACCCTCACAACGTCATAGCCCCAAATGTCAAACTTACTTGTTCACCCAATGTATAGCTGTATGGAACATGGTGGTGTTTAATAAATTATAACAATTCACAGTCTGTGCTGATCCCTATTTATAACAAGCAGATACTGCTGTTTATACACCTAATGTCTACAAGGCCTTCATTTGTACTTATGCAGATTCATGTCTAAAGCTGTAAATCAGCTCGACATAAAATCATTAGTTTGACATACCATGCCATCCAAACCTCTAGAAGTCAACAATAACACATTAACCCCTTAAGGACACATGACGAAAATATTCCTTCATGATTCCCTTTTATTCCAGAAGTTGTGTCCTTAAGGGGTTAAAGGGAGACAGCCTCTTACTCTCCAGCTGCTGCAGACTATCAATTTCTGCTGACGAGAGTTTCCACATTCTTAAAGGGATAGACTCAGTGCTAAAACTACTTTATACTAATGTAGTGGTTTTGGTGTATAGATGCTGGCAATTTAAAACATTGCTGTTTCTGTGAAAGGGCAATGTTTACATTTGCCTGAAAACACACCTATAGTGGCTGTCAGACAGACTCCCATAGAACTTTAAATTCTCATAGATATTCATTTTTCTCGTTTACAAGAAAAAAACAAAGAACACAAGGTTCTACGTCTCTGTGTACCCACCTGTATGTACTCTCCCCAGAGTGGAAAAAGAAGGGGGGGAGAGATTAACAGGTGCCACACAGGGACTAGTGTACCGAAACGAGACTCCAGGTATCTCGAAGGGGCTTAACCCCAAATAGACAAAGAAAATATAGGACAATGAAAAATGCAGTCTGTCTCAGAATGTGTTTAAGATTAGCTGCATAGCCTGGAAATATATATAACGGTATAGTGTGATATAAACCCTGGTTTACTAATCTATAGAAGCTGTTAGAGACCTATAGTAAGAAAATAATAAAAAATAAATGAAGTATATACAAGTGAAACTGAAATTCCATGCCAAGTCGGGATGTAATTGATAGGGATATCAAGGTATAACCTATACCATAGCTACACCCTAATTATCAGCTTTATTATAATTTGCTATTGGGGTAGGAGTATCCAAAAAATTAAATCCCATGCAATTATCTATCCTAGGAAATGTCTAGTATTAGAATAAATATAACATGGGCTCAGAGTCGAGCTAAAGTAGATAGATACGAGGATAGAGGTAATTGATAGATCAAAAACCAGTCAAAAAAATAGACTGATAGTTAAGATTAAATTGCAAAGCCTCTCTCCCTGTAAATCTAACTAGACAGGCATAGAACAGAAATGGAGATAGATTAAATACAGTGCAGAACCATGGTGCTTCATTCACCGTTGCCCAGTGTTCATATCAGTGATATGAGGAGAAAAAGGGCATTTTTCTCTTCATATCACTGATATGAACACTGGGCACTGGTGAATGTAGCACCATGATTCTGCACTGTATTTAATTGAAGTCCGGAGCGCATTATTTTTAAGTTTAAGTATTTTTATTTTATTTTTTGGTTAACTTATTCATCAATTCCTGTATATAGGACATTAAATGTGTACTTGCTGGGTATTTCAATTTTTATGCTATACACATTTAGATTTAAAGGGAGATTTCCATGGATTACATAGAATATGTATTAACACAGCATGCACAAAAAAAAAAAAAAACATCCTCTATTGCTGCTTTTGAAAGAGATGGTAATTGGCTTTCTCACTTTCACAAGGTTGGGAAATGGGTATTGATCTAATTTTTTTGTTGTTTTTTTATTTATTTATTTTTATTATTATTATTATTATTTTTTTTTTGCTACAATCTGACACATGCAAGACATTACATTCATAATATGAATAGCAGTACACTATATACACAGGCCAGCTTTCTCAGAAAAAAGTAAACATGTCAGAGTGTGGGTTTTTGGAAAATTAGCTAGAAAACACTAATAATGAAAAACCCAGCATTTACATCTTAACGTATGAAATAAAAAAATTCCGAGGTGTGAATCTCGTGAATAAAAATATAAGTAATATGAAAATCTGTGAGTATTGTCAACAGCGAAGGTATAATATATAGCTCTCACTAAACATACAAAAGGTGTGAGGGATAAGTGGGAGCTGAGGGGGAGGGAGAACAAATACACAAAAGTAAGTCCTGAGCTCAAACTCCCACTACTCCTGGGCGGCAGCAATGACCATAGCACACATCAGCCCCAATACATACAAAACAAGCAAAGAAAAAAAGAGTTACCTGTGCACTAGCCCAAGGGGAAGGATAACAAAAGCCAAACTATTTACCAGATTTGGTTACATCGTAGACCTGCAAAAATAGCACCCAGGGCCACCGGAAAGGATGAAAAAATAATGCGAAATCAAGGAGAAGGAAATACAACCAAAAAAGTTGAGGCACAGATCATTGGAAGATTAAGTCCCAATATAATCAGAGATTCAGGTAATTGCTGCCTCTGGAGCACATCTCTCTGCTGGTATAAATGAAGGTATTCGTGCAGGATCCAATGCGTGAGTGTTAGCACCCTTAGGTCTAGTATTGTTGGTCGGAGAGTCTGGGCTGAGGCACCAGGACATCATCCATCTCTGATAAATCCTAGACTCAAAGCTCCCAGTTATTTTGTGGAATAATCCATGATCGTGGAGTACCCCAGCATATCTCAGATCAAAGGAAAATTAGGATAGCATAAGGGAACAAAGTAATCTCCTCCAGAGCAAAATGGATCTAGATAGATCAGTGAGGAGAGTGAGATTCATTTTTATGGAGTTTTGCCTCCGACAGCATTTTGTCTTGACCATTTTGGAATTTTACAAGGAGGGTACTTAAGGTAGAAGTTGTGGCGACTTTAGGTTTTGGTAGATGAAACATACCATCTAATTGTATTCCCTTGCTTGCTTGGGGTACCCTTAGAGGTTATGGTCTCCTCAACACAGATACATCTTAATCTTAATTAAATTACTTTCCTAGAATTTTAGATGTCTGTGGATATTTTCTGGTGTAGATCTGCTGGTGGGTTTTTAAGAATGCCAGTTGTCATTGGGGAGTCCCCATGGTTGGTTAGGTTTAGCACAGTGCCTCAGAGAATCTATTATTGTCTTAATAAATCTGACCACTGGGTATTCATTTTTCATTCTTAATTTAATAGTTAACATAAGGAGCAGTGTTTTAATTGTCTTGTGTTTTGTATTAATTTGGCACATTTCATTAAGACTGTAAAGAACACAAATTTCCATCACAATGGACAAAGAAACACTACAAGCAAAGGCAATTAAAACAGCAGTGGGGCCTACTTTGAGTTAAAGTAAAGAAAGGATTAGTAAGTAATTAAAACCTACTGGCAGTATTTGGTGTGGAAAGTTATAAATATTTACCCTTCTGTTCTTCCCAGGACATCCAAACTTTGTGATATGAGGCCATAGTTATCACCAATTCTGATTAACATAAGATGCACAGTAGTTGTCATAACCATAGGCAAGTTATTTTACTGAATACAAAGTGAGCTTTGATAGGTAGCAGGTGATAGGTAGCCCCTCCGCAGGCTTCAAGGGCAAGATGATACTTGGTTCTAAATTGAATGGCCTGAAAAAGATGAGTTTTTGTTTTTTTGTCAATCAAAATTTTATTTTGAGGCACAGAGTGGTAAAAACACAGTATACAGTGGTGACAGGAATACAATTGGAGATAGGTAGCATCTGCAGAGCTGCATCCAGATCCCAATGTATTGCAAAGTCTAACTGCAGGGTATCACTGCTCTAATTGTTACTGTGCTCGATAGTTGCTCCAAGATGGGCCTTTCCCAGTGCTGTAGTTCCAGTCGGTCCTGGCCAGGAACTGCTTCCCTGTCCCTTTGCTCAATCTTATGTGTTGGATTCTGAGGTATGTGGGCAGTCAGGACATCCGGTGCTATGGTTCGCATGTAAGCAGACAACTTCTCACAGAAGGAATCAAAGAGCCTGTTTAACTTGCTCACCACATCTAACTCTTCACAGCAAGAGTCTGAAGAGCATGTGGCACCCGCCATTATGTATGCCACATGGTATCAGCTTTTCATTATTGCCACGCGCTGTCAGCATAGCAAAGGAGCTTCCAGAGTGTAGACCAGGATCACCCCCAACCATTCAAAGGGAGGGGGGGAAACAGGGCACCAACTGACGCTTAATGCAGCTCGACTTGCTCCAGGCGGAAAATAGTGCGCCTCTCCCCATCTTGGCACCAGGCTGCAGGAAACTCAGAGTAGTTGCCAGGAATGTGTCCACATTAGTTAAGTTACGGTCACTTCGACTGGGTCAGAACAAGGCTAGAGGTGCCCAGCTATCAATTTGAAGCAGTGATGGGTCAAATAATCGCTTAAAAAAATTATGATTATTAATGCAAATGCCCGGAGCTCTTTCAGGACATGTCTAGCTTTGCTAAAATTGCACTGCTCTTTGACAGGTCCACTACATGTAGGGCAATGTTCCATTTGCTCTGAATAATATCCAGCACATTTCTGAGGGTGTGGTTGCTATGTTAAATCAAAGCATCTATAAACAGCATTGTGGCTTGGCTACTTAATCAAAAATTAGGAAAGGGAGAAAAAAAGGGGATATTTTTCCCGCCAGTTGTCGTGAATAGAAATGATAAACAACATTATAGTAATTAGATTACAGCAGCTTTGTCTTTGTCTTTCTGGTTGCATGTTAATGACTGTTCTAGAGTGAAGCCCTACCTTTTGCTCATAGTTGCCTCCCGGCTATCTGGGCCAAGACCATATTCCCCCACTCACTCCCCCAATATTTCTACCTCCTGATGATTTGGGACCACCATCTCTTGCTCCCCGAGCCAACCCCACACCCCCAGTTGTATCTCTTGCCTCCCCTCTGTAAGTTAACAAGTGCTAGAAGTCTTCCCTGTAGGCTGAACTCAGCAACTATGTCTAAATTATAGCATAACTCTGTGACCTGCCTCGTGCTGTGAAATTCTTCCAGCTGTAGGCTCAGTTGTTGTGGTATGTGGGTTATAAACCTTTTCAAATGCTCATAAGCATAAGTTTCTGCATGAATATAGCAGGGCACCATCTGGGATGTTCTGCGGCAGCTTGATATTGCCATCTTTCACTATGCGTCTATTTTGCAAGTCAGAATAGGCGAGAAGGCCCGCATAAACCCTAATCTCCAGTCCCGGTCGTAAGTCTACATTGAAGGACAGAAGATAAATGGGGGAATGGGAAAGAGGACATCCCATCCGGGTGCTAATATGTCCCAAATATAGAGAGTGGAGTGAACAAAGAGTTGCTGAGCTGCCAATTTCCTACCAGCTGTAGGAGTCAATCTCACATTCCATCTCCCAACATCACTCTGCGGCACACAAGGGATCACAGAGAAGGTAGAGCTCACAAATCAGCACTCCCTCACCGCCCGCCTGGAGCTCTACTGACCTCCCACATGCCTGCATGCCTGCCTGCATGCCTACCTGCACGCCTGCCCAAACAGCCCGGCCAGCAGCCCCACTGGACCCCAGGTAAACCCCCAGTGTGTGTGTGTCTGTGTCATTGTGTGTGTATGTCAGTGAGTGTGTGCGTGTCTGTCATTGATTGTGTGTGTTTTTCAGTGTGTGTCTGTGAGTGAGTCAATGATTGTGTGTGTCTGTCAGATTATGTCAAATCAGTGACTGTGTATGTCAGTGTATCTGAGAGTGTGTTTCTGTCAAAGTGTGTGTTAGTCTTTAACAGGAAGAGGTGTGGCCTTGACAGGAAGGGGTGGGGCATATGTAAATTAGGGGAGTCCGAGTTTCGTCATGCCTAGGGCACAGATCCAAAATACATCACTGCATATAAGTTGTTTATTTTTTTTGTAGTGAGCCGACCTGGGGAATTCTGAATGCTCTCTGTTATTTTCATACAAGAAACACAAACTTTTAGAACCATTCCAGTTCTTACAGAACCAGCAATATGCGTTAACACTTGCACACTTGGAGGTAATATGTTTATGTACTGTACATGATGAACACTGAAAACAATGTTTTTGTCATCATCCCTAACTTCCTTTGCACATTTCAATCCTTCCCCACCCTGCTTTCTAAGATCGGATGGCCTAAAATTAAATACATTTTCACCACCTTTTTGTGGCAGGAAAACATTTAAGAATTGCTTTAATAAAACAACTGACTTCTAATTCGGGACATAATCTCTTAAATTTAGTTTAGCAGATGATTTACAGTTTTACAACCTTGGAACAACAGTCCTCCCCACCCCCCACTGATGTTGACCTTTTTATACAGGGTGGGACAAAATTTAGAGTAGGATTTGAAAGGTAAATAACTAGTATGTTAGTAGTTAATTTTTTGTGTCAGGTACATATTATAACTTGGAAAATCCATCATGGGTAATTTCACAGAGTACTAATGAGTAAAAACACTGGAATTTAATTTTCAAAATTGCAGGTCCATTATTTTGACGCAAATTCTCAGATTAATTGGCAGCCACGTTTTTACTTCTTGTGGTGATATCCGAAGAAGCGGATGTATGTGAACAAACTACGTAAACTTGAGCAGCTAAAGGAGAATATCCGTGCAGAAATTCAAGCACTAGAGCCCCAAATATTATGACCATATTATGAACAATGCAATCGAAAGAGTTGGCAACTACACTTTCCTGACATATAGCAAAATGAACCTAAAATGTTTTCAACACACTTAATATGTAGATCACCTATTTTAAGGTTTTCTAAGTACAGTGCTTACACATAATTTATAAATAAATCTGTTAATGGGTTTGCTAGTACACCACTAAGCTCCTTTAATAATTTTGGGTGTATTCCATCAGGCCCCATTGACTTACCTGTCTTTACTTTTGACAGTTGAAATAGAACCTCTTCCTCTGTAAAGAACAGTTGAAAGAGCCTCTTCCTCACATGTATCAAATTATTCATTTGTCCTTTTTCCTAACTGAGGTCCCTTTCCTCCATTTTCATCTGTAAATGCTGAACAAAAATATTAATTGAGGCAGTCAGCAAAACCTTTATCCTCTTCTACATACTTTCCTTCTTTTGTTTTAAAACTATCTAATCCAAGTTTTACATTCCTTAGATTAAAAATAAAAGGACAGGAGAATACAGGACGTGATCTCACTTCCCATCCTCCTGCACTGCCTCTTCCGCTCTCTTACTGCACTGCACTGAGGAAACCTGGCAAGCAGAGAAGGATCGCCAGCAGGTCTTACTCAGAGGGTGGGAGGAAATATGGGAGTGAGATCACTTCCTGTATTCTCCTTTGGTTTTTAATCTAACTAAGAAAAGTAAAACAAGGATTAGTTAGATTTAAAATCAATATTGTGGTACTGTGAAATAGCGGTGGGCTTAACACAATAAGCCCACACAATGGACCTGAATCCCCATATTTATTTGCGGAGATAGGTGATTTAAAGTAGACTTACAGAATATAGAAATGTATTTTATGAGGGCGCTGTAACTTATTCTGTATTATATCACTACGGCAGCACCATTTTATATATGAGCATAACTTTGTGTTCCATGATGGACATAGCTTTGATCTCTACAGTGGGAATTGTTCAAAAACCAGCTCATTACCATCTGTACAATTTACTTCTGCCGTAATGGAGCTCTGCGTGTCTCTTTTCCCCTATTTGGAGATCTGTGCATCTCGACCTGTTTAAAGATTTAATCATCATCACAGGTACCTGCTTGTGTACAACACACTTTTTCTCATGGCAGATTTTACATTTGAAAATTCTTGTAATAAACAGAAATTTACACACAAAAAATACCCCTCCAACCAGTAGCCCACAGCGCTGATGGCTACCAACGGGAAACCCAGGGTTGTAACTTTTAGAACTGAGTTGTGGCATTTTCTCCATCTGTATGCTGGGTTTTCTGGATATCATCTTAAATTCTTATTTATTTTTACAAGGCTGTATATGGTTATTTAGTGTTATGTGGGTTTTCCCTCTGTTGAGATATAGCTCATTGTATTTTGTACCATGAGTAATTTAGTTATTTTTATTCATTTATGCCTTGTCACTCCACTATAAATGTTGCTTTAAATACCTGACAAATCTTACTCGTATCCGTCACTATTTAAGGTTCTGTCACTGTTTTGAATCAAGTATTCAAATCTACGTATTGTAATATTTGACTAATGAAAACACTTATAAAAAATGTTTGCAACTCATATTTACGTTTTATTACTACTGAAAAATATATTACAGACCTCATTTTACAATAGGAAGTCAGATCTGCTAGCTAATGCTATGAACATAATCAACCCATGGCTGCCATAATGAAATCTCTCTGCTATCAATCTGGATACTCCACTTCCTGGTGTCTTAATCTACGTAAATGGAAGGAACACATAAGGCTTCTCAAAATAATTTCCTGCACTTCACGTGAATGTTTGAATGGTACGTGTGCATTGCTGTGTAGTAACTGACTATGTTATGCTTCTTAGACAACATTCTACATAGAACTCAATGAGTGCTGTATTTTCTTTTAGTTATTTTTGAATTATTAAGGTTTTACAATCAAATGTTAATCAATGTTAATTAGTCATTTCAGCAAAAATGCATAAAAAAAAACCACCCAAAAACAAATGTATTCACTTTAACAGTATTCGCCATGCTATGTGATGTAGCCAAGGTTGATCAATTTGTACATTTGCAAGCACTTTGTGTTTGCTTTCCTAACAACACATTCATAGGCGTGCGCAGCCTATTGCATTAGGGTGTGCACTCTATAGCACAAATACACGCCATGTGTATATGTATGTGTATGTGTATGTATATGTATATATATATATATATATATATATATACACATACACACATATATATATATATATATATATATATATATATACACACACACATACATACACTGCTGTGTGTGTGTGTGTGTGCTGTTAGTGTGCTGTGTGTGTAAGGGTGCTGTGTGTGAGGGTGCTGTTAGTGTGCTATGTGTGAGTGTGCTGGTAGTGTGCTGTGTGTGTGACGGTGTTTGTGTGTGTGTTTGTTCTGGTCCTGTTAGTGTGCTGTGTGAGAGTGCTGTTTGTGTGATGTGTGTGTGTGAGGGTGCTGTGTGTGTTTGTCAGGGTGCTGTTAGGATGCTGTTTGTGTGTGAGTGTGCTGTTTGTAAGCTGTGTGTGTGAGAGTGCTGTGTGTATGTGTTTGTGAGGTAGCTGTTAGTGTGCTGTGTGTGAGGGTGTTGTGTGAGAAGGTGCTGTGTGTTTGTAAGGGTGCTGTGTGTGTTTGTGAGGGTGCTGTTAGGGTACTGTGTGTGTAAGGGTGCTGTGTGTGTGTAGGTGCTGTTTGTTTGTGGGGGTGGGTGTGGGGGCAGATTAGTTAATCGTCCAGCTCCCTGGGTCCTCTCCTGCCTCCCTCCATGCTGCTGTGGGCCGGTGAGGTAGATCTTTGATCTCCATACCGGCCCATGGAGGCTTAGAGCAGAGCCGACTCTCGAATAGCGCCGGCTCTGCATGAACCGACGGGAGATCCTGAGATCTCCCCTGCCAGTCTCTATCCATAGACGTGCCACGGGGATTAGGGTGTGCCCAGGCAAACCCGGTACCCCCTGTGCGCACGCCTATGAACACATTGTTAATAAATTGCAGTAGTTTAGAAACTCTAACAATCTTATTTTTTCTGGAGGGTGTGTTGCAAACCAAGAAATATGGAAAATAATTGTGTCCCTTTTTTTCTATAATAGATTTCAGCAAGGGCCTTTCCCCCCTCATCTAGTCATGTCAAAAATGGGGATGGTTTTAAAAATCGGCCCTGTTTTAGCAGGTTTTGCACATGGCTAGTGTCCTCTAAGATGGAATTTCAGGAAATTCCATATAGATCTGCCATTCGGGTGAGTGGAGGCATGCTGTTGGCCTCTATATTCAGGTGTGGGGTTACAATGTCCACAGAAGAGAGAAGCAAGAAGCCATTTTGGAAGAAACACAGAGAGAGCTGAGCAACACCAGTTCCTGGCCCCTGCCAAATAAAAGACTATAATATTATCTTTTTCTCTACCCAATACCCCTCGTGACTGCCTGAGGGTTCGATTGAGCACCTATTATTTTCCTTTATTATATTGTACTTTAACCCCTTACTATTACAGTGATGGCTATAATTCCATTATGTGACTAATGTACCAGTTAGTGTTTCCCTGTTCAAACCCGGGAGACCCAAGTATCCTCTGAATCCTGGGACTCCTATAGATGAGCTTTGTACAGTGATCACAGAGTGTGCTGCATAGTCTTCAACCACAACCCAATGATGTTACCATGATGTCAGTGAGTATGCTACCAGTGAAAGAGAGACACACGCATTTCAAAGTACCCTAATCGGGTCTCACCACACGTCCCCTCCTTCCAGTTTGATCATCTGATCATACAATGCGATCAGCACCGGATGTACTGCAGCCCTGCTTTAATCAGTGTGTGTCTTCATGAAAAACTCTTGAATAATATAAAAGTAAGTTGAGTTTTTTTGTTACTATAGATAAGGATTAGACAACCATGACACACAAGATGTGGACCTGATGCTTTGTCAGCATTATAGCTGCAAGGGCATTATGGGAGATGTAGTGCACAGCATCTGTAATGCTGTAGATTGCCTACCCCTGCTGTAGACAACCTATTCTGTGCAACCACTAGGCCTCACACATGAGCTCATTTTGTGCGTGTCTTACCATTTTCTTTACCAGAAATAACATTGCATAAACTGGTTTTTAATCCAAGCAAGCAGAGCAGGAAGTGGAAACAGAGAAAATAAAGCCTTATAACCACACATACATTAGGTCACTAATATTTATAAGAATGCAGAAAGTTATAATGAAGGTACAGTATTTGCCAAAAGATAACGTGACTGGATTTTTTCATGTGTTACGTTGCTCAATTTCAGCAGCCATTAGGCAAGGTCTGTTTAGAAGATACTATTATATGTATTATAATTGGTGCATTCACTTTTATTAACACACATGAATGTACTGTATACAAAGACATATTAATAGAACAGAAGACAGATCTAAATGGGAGTTTACATCAGACTAGTCTAGCTGTTCATTCTATGTTGATTCATAATTAATTAGAATATAAAATATCTTTATAAGGAGCAACAAGGGAAATGAGAACAAGATTTAAGTAATACTAAGTATTTTTGTTCTCACCCTCGCTGTGCTGTTTTGTCTGATTTAAGAACTCTGTGTGGGTGGACAGCGGCAGTATCACAAGATGTGTGTCCCTTAATTCAAAGTTTTGCCATATGTAAGGAAAAGACTCTTCACTGAATCAAACTCTTCTAATCATCCGTTTGGAAACATGGAGATGCTTTGAAGCACTGTTTCTGCATTGATATATGCATCAGCACATCTTTGTGCTGGACGTTGTTCCTAAAGGTACAATAAAAACCCACATATAGATTTATCATTGTGTGTCAACAATTCTGTAAGGTGAGCCTCATGTTTTATGTTCACTAATAGTTTGAAAAAAAATCCTTAGAAAGACACATAGTGTGTTTATATATTAACCAATTATGTATCCTAACCATTACCCATTATAGTTTCTGTTTTTACCCATTATAGTTTCCTTTTGTACTTACGTTAAATGTTTCAGCTTTTGAGGCTGTTTGTCTAATGCTCAAACCACACAAAGGTTAATGTGTACTACAAGCATGAATGCCACACAGTGTCTTTTAATCAGAAAAAAAAAATATTTTTTGGTGGTCATATTTTGTTTCGGAAAAAAAAAATTGCAATGTATCACTTTATCATGTTGCTTATCTATCTGAAATTTAAATATGTATAATGTGTGACCACACTCTAATGCAGATATATTTGGGCTCCCTCTTTCCTATTTAGGTTCCTAACAGCACTTTTGTTATCTGGTTAAAGAAAAACAAAAATTTAGGAAAATGTATTCTCTTTATTTGTATCTGTTATCATTAGAACAGAGATTGGTGCTTTATGCTTTATTTCTTTAAGTTAGTTTTCTGAGCTAATGCTTGAATGGTAATTTAAAATAATTTGCTAAATATAAAATTTTTATAAAAAAAACAAACAAAAACACTTTCTTCGAGGTGTGCACCCTAATGGAATGGGACAGATTACATTGAATGAGATAGTGTGACTGTGTGACTGTGATTCATGTTGTATCTGTCAGTAGGTGAACTTGCGCCATTAGTTTTTCCATAAATGTTTTTTAAATAAATGTATTGGGAGTTAAATAATTTCATCTCAGGGTTCTGAGGATAAAAATAGCCCAGTTGACTGTCTGTTTCTACCAATAAATATTTTTTTTCCACTTAACCATTACTTTTTTTAAAATTATTTATTTTTCACCCGGTAAGTACAGCAGTTTATGTTTCACAAATTGGCATGCGCAGAAGCCGTCGTAACTCATCACTTATCAAAAGACCTCCTACTTTGCCACCATGATCTAATATTACCAACTTGGTTTTGGCTGAGTAATATTCGTTGCTGTTCACCAGGTGTTTTTTAAATTTTTAGTCAGGCACCAAGTAACACGCTGATAACCTTAAATCAAAAACGTTTCATCAGTAGAACTCTATGGACTCAGCCTTCCAGTTTGATCACATCCGGCTGGAATATAGGCTATTCCCTCATAAAACAAGGGATAGAAAGGAAGGATAGAAAAAGAAAAGAGAAGAAGATAATAGGCATGTGCATGGGAAAATTTTACGGTTTGGCTCGGCATTCCGAAATTCGGGACTTCAGTAACTTTGGCACTTCGACACTTCAGCACTTTGGAACTTCGGCATTTCTGAACTTCTCTTGCAGCCGCTTGGTAGATAACTCCCTAATTCCCATGGTATTAGGGAGTTATCTACCAAAAGGCTGAAAGACCTAAATAGGTCTTTCAGATGAATTTACTAATACTAAGTAAAGATTACTTAGTATTAGTAAATTATGCCCCTACTCGCTATACCGCGAGTAGGGTCATGTCTAGTAAACTGTAAGCAGCCTGTGGCTGCTCACTGTTAAAAAAATTTTTTTTTTTTAAAAAAGGGTCCCCCCCTCCCGAGCGGTGGGTGGGGGCCCTAAATACTAATTGGGGGGTACATAATGTCCACCCCCCTGGCCCCCACCCCTGAGCAGTGAGTGGGGGCCCTAAATACTAATTAGGGGGGACCTAATGTCCTCCCCCCGGCCCCCACCCCTGAGCGGTGGGTGGGGGCCCTAAATACTAATTAGGGGGGGACCTTATGTCCTCCCCCCTGGCCCCCAAACCCCTAGTCACCTCCCTCCCCAAAAAAATTAACCCCTACCTACCCGCCTCACCCTAAAAATAATGAGGGGGGACCATTTAACTAAGTACCTGTAAAAAAAAAAAAAAAAAAAAATTACCATTTGATGTTTTCTTTCTTCTAAAATCTTCTTTTTTCAGCCCCAAAAAAGGCCAAATAAAAAGCCATAATAACCGACGCACTTAAAAAAAAAAAAAAACGAACTCAAAAAAAAAAAAATCCATCTTCAACCATGGAGGGCTCCGCGCAGACTGAGCTCTGCAGGGTGCCTTGCCCCGCCCTGCAATTAGTCTCAGAGCACTCTGATTGGTGGGTTTAAGCCATCCAATCAGAGTGCTCTGACAGGTAAATGAAGACACTGACAGGTAAGTCTTTTACCTGTCACAGCACTCTGATTGGTTGTCTTGAAATCCACCAATCAGAATGCTCTGTGTCATTTTACACAGCGTGGGAAAGTTCTTTGTAATGTTCCCACGCTGTGTAATTTGACTCATAACTGATTGGTTACGTTCAATCCACCAGAGGGGAGGACATTTAAATTTAGGGCCCCCACCCACCGCTCAGGGGTGGGGGCAAGAGGGGAGGACATTAGGTTCCCCCACCTCATTCTAATTTAGGGCCCCCACCCACCGCTCAGGTGTGGGGGTCAGGAGGGAGGACATTAGGTCCCCCCCCCTAATTGGTATTTAGGGCCCTCACCCACCACTCAGGGGTGGGGGCCTGGGGGGAGGACATTAGATACCACCCCTTATTCTGATTTAGGGCCCCCACCCGCTGCTCAGGGGTGGGGGTCAGGGGGGAGGACAATAGGTCCCCCCCTTATTTTACTTTAGGGCCCCCACCCGCCGTTCAGGGGTGGGGTCCGGGGGGGGGGCAATAGGTCCCCCCTTCAGGTTAGGAGGAGAGATGTGTTTTTTTGTTTTGTTTTTGTTTCACAGTGAGCAGCCACAGGCACTGTTTAATAGACATGCCCCTACTCGCGGTATAGTGAGTAGGGGCATAATTTACTAATACTAAGTAATTTACTTAGTATTAATAAATTTGTCTGAAAGACTAATTTAGGTCTTTCAGCCTTTTAGTAGATAGCTCCCTAATACCGTGGGAATTAGGGAGTTATCTACTTATTCATTCCTGTCAGTACATTTACAGGCCAAGTAACTTACATTTTATATGAATGTGTGTTACTTGATTGTTGTAAGTGTTGCAAATGCTTACAGCTGAATCCTGGCTACGTTTGTATACTTTTTATTTAAAATTGTATACAGTGTAACATTCTTCGTCTTCCACTGGGTAAGTATATTAGTACTTAGGCAATTCTGCACTTCGGAAATTCGGTAATTTCGGCTATTCGGACATTTGGAAGTACCCGAATGTCCAAATTCCCCAAAATTCATCTGAATTCATATTCGGCCCGAAACGAATTGCACATGTCTAGAAGAGAAAGAAAAGGGTGAGGAAAGAAGGAGAAGGGAAGGAGGGGGTTGTACCTTGAGCGAGCCCTATATTTACCGCTCACCGGCTGGTCCCAAGGCCCAACAGGTGCCTTCGTTATTTCCATAAGAGTATCCCACTCTCAACTAAAAAAAAAAGGCTCTCATGTTCCTGCCGTGCCCACTATGCTATTGTCCCATGGCTCCCAAACTTTTTCAAAAGCTGCTGTATTCCCCTGCACTCTGGCCGTCAGGTCGTCCATTAATTTGCTTTCTCTAATCCTAGAGATCACTCCCGAGAAACCTGGGCCCTCCGGTCGCAGCCATTCGGCTGCGATTGCTCATCTTGCGCTTAAAGTGATTGTATGCACCAATTTTTGTTCTCTCCTGGTCCATCCCTCTATTGATCTGTTTAGGAGGTAAACCCATGGGTCTAGGACCAAGGGCCTGTTAAAAACCTGTTCCATTAGATTCTCTACTGACTTCCAAAAGCCGAGTATAGTCGGGCATTCCCACTACATATGTATATATGTTCTTCTAGCACTGCATCCCCTCCAGCAATTATCCAAATCTGTTTTTCGCATCCTGAACAACTTCACGGGTGTAGTATACCACCTGAACATGGTCTTCCACATCTGCTCCTGAAGTGTTACACAAATTGAAGCTTTTTTATTCGCTTCGCATATCTCTTGCCATTCAATGCCTTCCAGTACCTCTCCAAGGTCTGCTTCCCACTGATCCGTGTAATACAACTGACCCCAGTCTTTAGTCTTGTCACAGAGGTGGGAGTACAGTGTTGTTATTAGTCCCTGGGGTGCCGGACCCGCCGAGCACAGCCGTTCATAAAAGGTATGTGGTCCCCGGGCCGCTGCTTTGATGTTTGGTCGTCTAGTAAAGTCTTGAAGCTGGATATATCGGAAGAAATCGGCTGGCGTCAAGTGTTGTTCCCGTTGAAGCTCCCCGAAGCTCACGACTGTTCCGCTCCGGTATAAGTGGCAAATCCTCTGCAGGCCAGTTCTCTCAATGTTACGAAAATCCCTTGGAACCATTCCGGTGGGGGAATTCCAGGTTTCGATACAGCGGAGTCAAGGGGTGGGGGTGTCGAGGCCAGCCCGTACTTCACATTGGTAGCATCCTAGATTCGAATGGAGTTGAGAATCAACGGGCAGGTCACCCGTATCTTGGGTCTGTGTTCTCTAGGTACCCACATTACGAACTGGGGGATATCCGAGCCCACCATCAGGGACTCCACCTCGACCCATCTCCTCTCCTCTGGCGGTGGAGATGCGGAGTGGGTTGGGGAACGGTAACACATATATGGTGGGAATGCACACTGCTCCCCCTTTGCTCATGGTTTTCGGGTCCACTTGGGGCTGTCCGGAAAGTACAAATAGTTCTTTAGGTGACCAGCTCTGTCTGGCGTGATAGCCCATCTGCGTTCCCGTTGTGTTTTCCAGGTCTGTAATGGATAGTGAAGTCATACGGTTGCAGGGCTAGACAACCCAGTTGAGCCAGACTAAGGGGTTATGGTCAGTAATGAGGGTGAAGGCGCGGCCATACAGATACGGGTTTAACTTCTTCAATGCCCATACCAAGGTTAAGCACTCTTTCTCAATGGCCGGGTAACTGACCTCCCGGGGTAGTAGTTTCCGACTATCCAGTGGCCCAGATACTGTACCTCCGCCATACTAATGTGACATTCATCTGGTTTCAAGGTTGGCCGGCTCCCCGAATCCTATCTAAGACTATCCCTATATGCTCTAAGTGAACCTCCCAAGTGCCACTGTAGATAGCAATGTCATCCAGGTATGCACAAGCATAATCTTGGAGACCATCTAGAAGGCGATCCACCATCCATTGGAAGGTGGCTGGACCATTCTTCATTCCGAACGGCATAACCCGGAACTGGTATAGGTCGAACGGAGTGACGAATGCCTCCTTGGCTAGGGGAATCTGCCAATATCCCTTGCAGAGGTCGATAATGGTCAGATAACGTCCCCTAGTGATACGGTCCAACAATTCGTCTACCCTGGACATAGGGTAGGCATCGCTGACTGTCTTGTTGTTGAGCCGCCTGTAGTCCACGCAAAAATGGGTCGTGCCATCCCGTTTTGGTACCAGGACTACAGGTGAGGCCCAAGGACTCTCAGAGTGCTCAATGACCCCTATGCAGAGCATTTCAGCAATCTCTTTTCGCATGCCTTCTCAGACTGCCTCGGGGATACGGTATGGGGGCTGTCTCAAGGAGGCCTGACCTGGGGTGTGAGTATCTAGGGTGGGGTATACTGGATCCTGTGAGAGAGTTGCCTGTTTGGCAACCAACAAGTGGATCGCTTGAGGCTGTTCCTGCGCTCCTATTCATTCCCCTAGCTGGACCAACTCTATGGCCCCCTCACTGGGGTCACCTCCTAGCAGGTCAGGTAAGGGTAGGGTGTCAGGGTCCTCAGTGGCTGGGGCACATACTGCTATTACCTCTTCCTCCCTGCCTTTGTACACCTTGAGCATGTTTATGTGAAGCGTTCATTTCACCAGCTCATTCTCGTAAATTGCCACCGTGTGTGGTGTCACATCTGGCAAATCACCTTGTAGGGTCCCTGCCAGGCCGCCTGTAGTTTATCATCTAAGACGGGTTTAAGTACCATAACTTTTTGTCTGACCTGAAAACTACGGTGCCTGGCTCTCCCTCCGGTCATACCTTACTCATTGGTGCTGCTGAGCCACCTGGAGGTTCTCGTGTACCATCTGGGACAATGCCTCCATTCAGTCCCGCAGCTCCAGCACGTATGGTACAATCGGGGTCCCCTCTACTCTGACTCCCCCTCCCAATGATCCCAGATAAGGTCTAGGGGTCCCCTCACCTGCCTCCCTTATAGCAAGGGGAAAAACCCAGTTTATTCCTGTGGCACCTCCCTATAAGCAAATAGGAGGTGGGTTAGGATCAGTTCCCAATCTCTGCAAGCGGTCGTTAATGTTTTTAGCGGATACCTTTAGTCTGGGGGTGATATAGGGAGCTCATCAGGGGTTTTATCCCGCAGACCCTCCATAACTGATGGGTCACCTCTGCAGTGAACTGCGTACCCTGGTCCGAAAGAATCTCCCTGGGAAATCCGACTCGGGAGAAAATCTTAACCAGGGCATCAGCCACTGTCTCGGCCTGGATGTTAGCCACAGCCACGGCCTCAGGGTACTGGATGGCATGGTTCACTACAGTAAGTATATAGTGCTAACCAGAGCAACTAGGCTGGGCTAACAGATCTACCTCCACCCGGCTAAAGGGCTCTTCAATGATAGGCATAAGTACCTTAGGGTGGTCCCCACTTTTGCCTACCTGCTGGCACACCTCACAAGTCTGGCAATATTGCGGGACATCATCAGACAACCCACACCAGAAAAAGCACTGGGTTATCCTGTGTGATGTCTGTCGGATTCCCAGTTGCCCCGCTAAGGGCACATCATGCCCTTTCAATAATTCCAGCCGGTATTTCTTTGGAATTACCAGCTGTCATTTTTGAATGGGCCTCGAAGTGCTCACCTTAGACTCAGTGACCCTATATAACCTGCTACCTTCCCACACTCATCAGGGATATCCCAGGGTTGGGGTGCTTCTATCACAGTCAGGGTAGGGGTTCTTACCTGGGTCTCCACAGAATGTAAGGGGTTATCTATAGCTCAGCTCTGGGCTCGGGTGGTCACGGCTTGAACCTCATGGTTGGTGGTGGAAGCGAAAGCTGAAGTTAGGGGTCCCAAGTCATTCCCTAACAAGACTTCAGCTGGCAAGTCTTTCGTTACTCCCAAGTTCACGGTGCCAGCTCCGGCAACCCAATCCAGGTGTACCCGGGCAGTGGATAGTGTGGATAGTGTAGATAGCCCCTCCGGCCACCCGAACTGCAAACAATTTCCCCGGGCATTCAATATCAGGTGTCGCTGTACCAAGACGATAGTGACACCTGTGTCTCTTAGGCCCCTGGCTGTCTTTCCATTAATCAAGACCAGTTGCCAATTATGTTGTCTGTTATCCATGTTGGCTGCCTGGACTGGATCTGCTTCGTGGAGTACCTCAAGTGTTTTTTCCTGGGTCTGCTTCATAGCTTCCCAGGTCTGAGTGAAAGGTGGTAAGCAGCAGCCCAAGGCGTTGGGATCCCAGCTAGGGTCCAGTTGGTTCTGGGGGGTTCCAGGGGACAATTGTTTCGCAGGTGACTCGCTTGTTTGCACCTATAGCAGTCGGGCCCAGTTGTCTATGGTGGTCAATAGCCACTCGGAGTGGGTTTTCCGTCGGTACACCTGTGGGAGTGGGGTCACAGCATACCTTGCTAAGAGTGCTTCACCCACTCATAATTTTGTACATCCAGATCTGGTATGGCTCTGAAGGCTTCCGCAGCCTTACCAGACAGCTTCATACAGATAGAATAGGGATCTATTCCTCCTTCGCTACCTTATGTAGGGCACACTGGCACTCAAAGCCAGCTAGGTACCCATCAATCCCTCCCTCTGATTCTTGGAAAGCTTTAAATGCATTGAAGGGCACCTTTCGCGGCTCCAGTGAAGATGCTGGTGTTCGCTGGATTTCCAGTAAGCGAAGTTGCAGCTCACGTTTCTCTCTAGCCCTCGCATCACCATTCGACATAATCTTTAGAATGATTTCGGGTGGTGGGTTGGGACCGAACAGCGCCAACCGTTCTCTTATCTCCCTCATGGGTTCCGTGTCTTCTGCGTGAACAGTGGGGATCGCCGTGGCCAAGTTCTCCCGATCCACCTCCATTAGTTCGCTGATCAGCACTCTTTTTGCTTTGCTGCTGGCAATTCCCCCTCGAGCTTCCAATAGCTCCTTCAATGTGGTATGCCTGATCTCCATCCAATGTATTCCTGGGGAATGCCGACTTCTGATTATAGTTCCATGGAAAGGGACCATCCCACTGCTGCCACTGGTGATCCACAAAGATATCACCACCACGGATTCCCTTTTCCCCGAATAAAGTAAGTCCAATAATCCTGAAGTGAAATATCGCCTGTATCGCATATTGCCCCATACATGAGCCAAGGCTTAACGCTGAGAGAAGACTGTTTTATTCAAGGCCACACACTGGCTTTTATAACAAAGCCAATGCAAGGGGGTTAACAAAATTATAGGGTAATCCCTCCCCTGTACCTGAGAGATAATTGAGTTAGGAACTGTACAAACTCAATTATCTCTAGGTACAGAAAAACACATAATTTACAGACACCGTAAAAGTACCCTTAGAATACATGTAAACCCCACAAAAGTCACATCCCAGGTAGCCCTTATCTGATTGACCAACATATGCAAAAATCACTCAGATCGATTTGGTAGTTTTTCATCTGCATTCCGGGGAAGGTTTGGCCGGTTTGCCACAAGGTTGATTCCCAATAAGTTCCAGGGAAATTGTGGCAATGGCCGTCTCCATTCGTGGGGTTTTGTACAAAAACCACATAAGGTACATGAAAGATTTCACTGTTAGAATGCTCCCCCTGTTCGGTAGTTGATAACTCCCAAACACCGTTTGTGTAGATGGTCAGGAACTTGAAAGGGCGGCAAGTCTTAACCGGCGTTCACAGGAATACCTGGCCGAAAATAGTTCCAGGCACTCGACGACCAGGTCCCGCTGCCTGTGTTCAGGAGACAAAATGGCCACCATCCATTGTCTCGACCAAGTGCATTCATTTGCACGAAATGGTGGCCACCCAGTGGAACATTCTATTAATTGTTTCCTTTGCGGTTTTCGTACTTAACTACTAAGTTCTAATGTGGGTTCGGGTACCTAACCAAGTGGAAACGAATTGAATATAAAGGAATATAAATCCACTATCAACTGAAACAAGTGATGGGGCTATTCCTTCACACTATTAAACGCTGCCAAATCCTTGATTCTGTTACACTGGAAGCAAGATATGACCCCTACGATGGGACAATGGAAGGACAGGGTAGAGGAGATATACATGGCAGAGTCTGTCCAGGCCTCCCTGAGCAGAACCGACGAGAAACATGTGGAGCGCTGGCGTTCGTGGTTGGCTTACGTTGCAGTAAGGGTTGCAGGAGCGAGGGGAGGAGCATAGTCTTAGATAGTGGTGATGGATCGCTCCCATCCCCCTTTGGTCCACTTCCATGGGAGAAGCCCTCCTGGCACCCTAATTCCCCCATCGCTTATTCCTTACTACGAGGTGCATTATACATACCCTCCCTCCCATTGCCAGCGCTACCTGTAAGGCGACCTAGGCAGCCGCCTATGGCGCACCTTAGCAGGGGGCGCCGGATCCCTGCGCCCGGCGGCTCCTCATGCTGTGCCGCCTGAGTGCTTTTACAAGCCTCAGGCGGTGCAGCACTGCTGTGGAGGGCGGCCGGATTTGAGTGACCGACAGGAGGGAAGCGCAGAGCGATCCCTCCCGCCGGTCTCTCAATGTAGCGTGGCCGGGCGGCGCGAAACACGGGACAGGAACCTCTGTTTCCTGTACCCGGCTGCCAGCGGACTGACAGGAAGTGCTCACTGAGTGAGCACTTCCCTGCAGTCCGCCGGCGGCCGGGTACAGGAAACAGAGGTTCCTGTCCCGCGTTCTGCGCCGCCCGGCCACGCTACATACACGGGAGGGAAGAGGAGGGCAAGGTCCACCAGGGGAGGGGGGTAGGTAAGGACCACAGGGGGATGGGGGTAGGTAAGGACCACAGGGGAGGGAGGGGGGGCAGGTATGAACTGGGTCAGGATGGGG